TGGACCCCGAGAACCTGTGTAAGCAATATATATTTTCGAATGCATACCATCTGAACTGGAACATCCAGTGGTTTCATGTGAAACAGGGGGCGTTAAATCATCAGGTTCCATTTCTGTGACAGGTGATGTAGCATTTTCCAGTTTCTGCCATGTTTTCCCCTTTTCCAGTAGCATTATTGTATCATCCTTTGTGAGGGCGATCAATTCTTCCGACTCTTCAATGGGAGTCCCATCGTTTTCTAAAACTGCATAGCACTCTAAACCATTTTCTATCTCCAGCTTTTTGATTCCTGAAATAAATGTCTTATATATAGATCTATGTTTTAGGTCAATGATCCTCGCTATGTGCCACTCGCTATGTGCCATTCGCTATGTGCCAACGCCAATCGAAACATACATGGGTGTTTTCTTAAAAGGGTCCTTTGATACACAATGGGATTCGGTAGTGCTAAGTGTTCCCCAAGAAATCCCCCCCCCCACCCCCATCTCGCACACAATATCCCTGTCCAAATGCATAATAGTATTTTCGCAATATATTTCACACTGAACATATTTCACAAATTATAATGATCTCACTGCAAATAAAAACTACTTTAATATTATACTTACCTTTATCTAATAATTCTGTCAAGTTTCCAGCTACAACCAGTTTCCGACATGTGCGGTTTTCATTTGAGATTTTATATAGGGGCATACTGAATTCGATTTTTTAATCTTAAAAATATGATATTACTTTAATGGTCATTAATATAAGATATAATTATAAGGCCTAACAGGTAACAGCAGTGTCAAGATATTATCAAATCAGGAAGTATAAGGACAAAGGTTCGGATTCTGAACCGTGATTTATTTTTAATTAATATCAATAATATAATAAATGAAATGTCACCAAAGCAAGAGATTTACTCGTGTAAGTATAACAATTTCTGTCCGTATTGAAGTCAGGGCAACAAATTAAATGATGGTTTAAGAATTTGAAGTAAGCCTACAATTTTGTGGGCATCTGGCCGGTAAAGTCGATGTAGATCATATATAACAAACACTAAACCATAACGTCAAACTATGAAAACAAACAGTAAGGTTTCTCATATAAGAGATTGTGACCCAGAAATAAAATAAACAATCAATCCATATTTCTCGCGCTCGACCTTAAAAACCATTGTTTCAAAAAAGTTCACAAATGTGGCTTTTCGAATTCATAACGCACAGACTTCCTTTATGACGATATAAACTAAGGGCCATTTGAACTTCAGACATCTAAATTCTACGAACTCAAAAACATCCATTTTTTCTGAAGATGTAGCACGCTATATGCTGGTTGAGGAATGAGCTGGCAATTTCAAGTACAAAGTATTTTATGTGATTGATAACCAAAATATCAGAAACTATTCCAAAACGTGGAATGTCATATTCATCATATTCATATACTAGTGAGCATGAATTAACTGCATAATCTAAACCATGTATTTTAACTTTATTTGTACTGAAGGCAAGTGTCTCATTGTGATCAAATCTGTCAATAAAATTGGGATATTTATCAGCCAGTTTGAAAATATCACCATTACCTACAATATCTCCTTCATAAAGGAAATTATCTGGTCTCCCAATATTACTGCCACTCTGGACATAGCACATAAACAACTGGTGTTGGTGAATCAGAGAAAATGGCAAGTTTTTGAAGTTTTTGTGTTTTCTTTGTGTAAAAGCGGTGTGTTTGGCCTCATATCGCATGCACCAGTGGTGACGAAGTGGTCCATAATGGCGCATTTGTTTAGGAAAATGCAGCATATAATGCATTTTGGGAATAAATGGTGCTCGTCCATGTAGTTCTTTAAATTCGCTTAAAAATTCTACTATTAACAGTCTAAGGACATTTGGTGTCTCCGTTGAACAATACGGAGACGAGCAGAGCATTACAACTTGGATAAGGCGCAGTAAATTTACCCAAATCCGATTCCTTTCCGGAATATAATGACCTATTATAATTGGTAACGTTTCACAGAGAGTTAACATACACGACGATGTTTGTTTAAGAGCTAGTTTTGTGTCCAAATGATGCTTCTCTATTTGACAGGGTTTTGTTGAATTGTGCAAATGAGAATATTCAAATGTAGACAATTTACTGTTAAGCTGATTCAAAGTTAAGAAGTTTCCGACATATATGAAGTTATATAAAGCCAGGGCCATATAATATGGCACGACACCTTCTAGAAGTACGTGCATTGGGTCTTGGGCTAGACCCCAAATGAATTCAAAATTATTTATATCTAGTAAACAGCTCGTTCCATTAATTCCCCAGATTTTACTCCAATATGTTTTTGTTTTTCCATTCAAAGAATCCAACTGAACACACCTGTCCCTATGTGTGATTGTATCTCGTAAATGGCACTCGGACTCAGTGATTGTTGTACGGAGAAATTCAGTTTCAATGTTACAATGCCTGCAGCACTTCAATGCAAAAGCTACGCCCTCTTTAAATTGACCTAACTCATGAGCTGCCAGTGTATCCGCCGACACGAGGACGAGAGTCCCAAAAATGACCCTTTCTTCTCTGTTTATGATCAAACGTAATCCAGAAGTGGACATTTGGTTAACAGTACTTATGAAGTCATTTAACAACAATTTGGTGGCGCCGTGGAACTTAACTAGTTTGCTTTTAGCTATAGCGAGAAGTTGAATTGAGTTGATCCTGGATCTAAATTGAGGAGGGATATTTAGTATAGAAAAGTAGTATAAAGAGATCTTGTGTTTCTTTATATTTGTGCCAAGAGGATTGACAATTTCAAGGTCATCGGTGCTTAAAGCTATCTGAATGGCACTCGGGTGATCATTAAACAATGTGTTGCCTTGTATGTATTCCCCGTCGCATACATCGTGCACAAAATCATCGGGAGACTTATGTGGCGTTTTAATGAAATTAAACATTTCAGGCATATTCAAAAGATTTTCTAAATTCTTTTTGAACGGAACTATGTACCCGAAATCTGATATTGTTTTGATAACACCCTTTACGACTCTTCTCCGTTTTCCTAACAAGAGTTCCTCAGGTTTAACATAAGTTACCATGTGTTTGAAATAATAATTATATCTCTGTTTGCTAGACGATAGAGCCTCTAAACCTGGAGAATAATGTACATTATTGAGAAAAGAAGCATCAATTCCTTCTTGTTGCAAATGAGTTTGTATGACTACCTTATAATTATTTAAATGGTCGGTTAATAAATGACTGGATGATATCACGGCACGATCAACCGAAGCTTTAGATAGTTGATTCTTCGTTTCCAATGCCAAAGTGAACTGAGCATTAATTTTTTGTACATCTACAAAGGGGGTCGCCTGCTCCTCTTGCCATATTTCATCGGCTGATTCATCATCTACGTCACCGTGATCATTTTGCACAATATCCCGGGCATTAGCATTATTATTGTTAGTGTTGCCATGTTTGCGATGATAATGGACTCGAAATGTACCCCACCTTTTAGTAGAAAAACCACAGCCATTGAAACAACATGCAACCAGGAAATTTGGATCATTCCTATGGTAACGAATGAAATGAGCCTTGAATTCGATCATAGAAGTGGATGTATATGTACACATGCAACAACAGAAATCAGACATCGTTAACAAAGACTGTGTTCACACATTCATATTTTAACATGATCTATGAGTATCATGTGTTAAACAATGTATGCAAAGTGTTCACAAATGAACACTATGAGTATGGCGATCAAAGTTGTTGAATTGAATCTAACACAAAAAGGACACAACTGAAACAGACTTAACTTTAAAACTGGTCCCAAAATAATAGAAGAGACATTATTTGAAAAATCAACACATTCCCGCGTTTACTGGAATAAATCAGATCAACTACGACTAACGAGTCCACGACACAGGCTTAACGGTTAGAACGTCTTGCCTTGATGCAAATTACAACTGCTAAATTCCAGATAATAGACAACAACAACAATAAAATACTTAGTCTACCTTGTTCCTGATTTCACTGATTTGATAATGAACTGCTTTTAATTAGAGGATGGCTTGACTTACAAACGATCAAAGTCGATTTTTTAAAAGAATCAATTCAGTAGCTCTCAAAGGAAAGATGTCGTCTGTTCAAATGATCACGTGATAGTGCGGCGCATGCCTATCGAGCACTTTCCCCAGAACGCATAGTGTTCATATTAGAACATATTATGTGTTCAGCTTAGCACACTTATTTCGCAGTCTTCTCTGTGGGTTTCTTCGTTTGCGACACTCTTCATATGTAAAGATGTGTCCGGTAATTTGTTCACAAACAAATTTGTAGCGGTTATTTGATCACGCAGTAGGCCTATCACGTGACTTAATGAAAAAATGTAAACCTTCCAGTTCCAACGAACTGTTTACACATTGAATTGTTTCATTTTTTTTTTATCAATGTTTCAGCTGGTTTACAGTGTCGGACGTATACGTACGGTAATTTTAGCCTCCTATTACAATATACATGTTTTAGGGAGAACTATATTTTCATCAAGCTCTTTAGTGGATGTGACAGGGTGATTTGTACTCTGTTGCCTTGTGAGAGCATGTTTTGATCAAGGTTACATTATTTATTTCTTAGCATTGGTTAAAGAATATATAAAATACTTAACCAAAGTATTTCTGGTACAATTATTCGGGATTGTATATTATATTAAATGTTGTAATTAAGTTAGCTTCTTTATTTTAGTTTTTATGGAATGGGTTTACTAGTTTCATAGTTGTGATATTTAATTGGTAAACGTAAAAACTACTGATGTTTAGTTATTAGTTAATTTCCAGTTATTGGTTATAAGTTTAATTGGAAAGGGTTATGTGGTATTGTGAAACGAGGTTGTATATCACATGGTGTAATTATTTGTTCGGTGGTTGGTTTTTAATAAGTTATCAGGTAATCTCGTGCATTTAAAGCTTACATTGGCTACAGTGGCAGTCGGAGTGCGCTGTTAATTATTGTGGCCCTATTCCACAAACTGGTAACTTTATTTTATTCTTTAGATTGTATGTTAATGTGACTTTTACTAATTGTCTTAGTCGAAGTGTGTGGTAATATTTGTCACTCATTCTAATATGTCTTGTATGTGATTTTATGTTAGTCGCGGGCCATGGATAATGTTATATGTATACATGACGCCAGAAGATAATGATAATGAAGTATTTGTTAAATAGAACCTATTGTCATTGCAGGGCTATTTATTGTTTTGGTTAGTGTTCTAGCCTTGTAGCACCAGTCTTTAGATTATAACCTCTTTGCTACTGGTATAATGGAGTGAATCTAATTGATAATGGCGGAACGCATTGGAAGCCTCCGTATTGGTATATAAAGCACTTTTCGCGACTATCTAAATTTCATGTGGTGTACTGATGTTATGTTATATTGTGATGTAATAAATGTATAAAACTTATCTGTAATTCCATCCTTCGACCCAAATACATAGCGAGTCCCAGATCCATCTTGCATAGGGGCGTGTAGTAGCTGAGACATGGACTCCATACATTGACCCAAAGCTTGTTAGTGGATGAACTCGGGATATTCAATTCTGAACATCCAGCAGAACGCTATAAATATATTAGGAGTCTTGATGAACACCATGGTGTTTCATGTGTTCCATTCAACATGTGCTTGAGAGGTAACATTTAAAAATGTACACACAGTGTTCAGAAAGGAATGGTAAATTAACACATAGTGTTCACATTGGACGTTAATATGGTAAATATAATGGTAGAATGTTCAAATGTTAATGTCAAGAGTTCAAATTAGAACACATATGGACGCGTCAGGCGTCCGTTAGGTTTACAGTGTACCGTGCTAAAAAAAGACTATATAAACGTCATTAAAAATGTCCAATAAAGAACAATTGTTCGTTATAACTTCGAATAAATCAGACATCAAATTGTTTCTAGACTATGAGTATGAACTAGATCGTAGTAAACAGTACGAACTGGGATTAAAGTATTTCTCCGTTTACAATTCCATTAGAAATATCAACGAAAACGATAATCAACTGAAAATATCAACGGATAACGGATTTACGTTCAAAACCCTAAGCTTACTACCGGGAAGCTACGAATACGTAGCCATCAACGAATACCTATCTGAATACGCAATGTTGTCGCTTTCTAGTCTATTATTTTAACAATTCGCATATGTCGGTAACAAAAGATTTTCTGTTGGCCGAAACTCTTCCGCTTTTGACGGATTGTCTGATGAAGTTTCTCACGAAAGTATTGGTGTGTGAGTAAACTTTATCCACGTATGGTTTTTCGGTGTGTTTCGGAACCATTCTATTTGATTCGTAATACTCTTCCTCGACCATTTCTTTATCGTAGTGATACAAGTAATACCAACCCTTCAAAGACAAAGAAGGAGCCTTATATTGTTGCTCATGTTTTGATATTGATAGGTGTTTTATTGTTTTAGTTTTTTCATTATTTTAACGTATTCTGGAGCTATATAGCCCGTTTGGTGCAGATGCTCCTTAATGCATTTCATTTCATTTCATTAGGTGTAAGGTTCCCATTCGTGTCTCAATTCCTCCCAATTGTCTTGCGTGTATTTGGCTATATCAACGTGGGCAATCTTTCTCAAATTCATGGGAACATTTTGATCTATGCAGTGTAGAACAACAAATATTTCGACAATGTTGGTCATGAGTTTGTCGTAAAATTCTTTTGGAATATCATCTGTTGGAGAATTACGTTTTATTCTGTCCAACATTTTTCTTAGTTTTTCCAAATTGACCAAAGTGCAACAATACGGAATTGCTCTTTGCGTGTCTTTTTCGGAATACGTTTCGCAGTCCCAAGCGTATAAAGTATCATCACTGATAGAAGAAAACATGTTTAGTTTCAACTGAAAAATTTGCGTTACGGCATTGTCTGTACACGTTTTCCGCACCTGTTCGTAATTGTCTTCTATTTCTTAAATTCCCAAACTTTTTTGGCTTCTTCTTACCAGACAGAAATGCGAATTGTGTAAGTAAAAAACCCAATCTAGTTCATCATGTACGTCTCTGGGATGTAAATGTCTGTTTTTTTGGGATTATAAATTTCCAAATGTCATGACCAAATCTGAAAAACCGGTCAACAGACATGAGATCATGACCGGTACAATAAGATCGGTATGAAATTAGGTCAGGTCATGTGCGATTCTATCAGAGCGCTAATCAATAATTCTCAGAGTATGAGTCACAGACATGAATCATTATTTTCCAAAATCCTTGCTCCTCAGGACCTTTTTTTTAATTCACATTCTATTTTGAAATAGAAATTGTTAAATTTTGAAACTTTTGGTATTTAGCACAGAGTTTGGCGAGTTTTCGTAATTTCCTACTCCAACTTACTGATATGGTCAATTTATTTCTCACAAAAGATTCGAAATTCCCATAATATAAGAAGTATAGTTTCTGCAGCCATTGTTCAAATATAAAATAAGCTTTAATAGTACGGGCTGGAGCATGTTTCAAATATCGTCACAATTCATTACAATAACTCTTAACTGCTTCATCCTCATTATTTTCATGGTTATATGGTATAATTTCCTCGGGAAGTTCCAAATCACAAAGATTAGATCTTAATTTTGTTAATAAATTCTCACCGAAAGAACGCTTTGCTCTAAATGTAAGATTTTTTAGTGTCTTACACAAATCCTCAAAATTCTCTTTGTGAAAATTCTCCGCTGTGTCCGGTCCATTTTCTTGTAAAGTAGCTTTCAGTTCTTTATAATACTTTAAATGTTCTTCATGATAATATATAATATTGTCAATAGTTGACGTTGGGTAATTGTTGATCTGAAATAGTTACAGAAAAACATCTTATAATCAATATGTCTGAAATGAATATTGTATTTTACACGATTATAGTTGTTCGTCTTTTGCTGTTTTTTCTATTTAAGGATTATCAAAAACAGACTTATGTTATTGTTTCAAAAATAATAACGTACCTGATGAATGTTCCATAGTTTAATCCTTAATTATTACAAAACGGGCTTTTTATAACTGTGATCGTCCAAGAAGATTGAAAAGTTCACGTTGTGTTTTACAGTTCACATAGAAAACAAAGATGAGGTAAGGTTGGCAGCCAATATAGTTTGATCTGAATGTCAATGAAAAAATAAGAACTAGTGAAATATCGAATAGCTAGTTCTGACTGAGCGCCACAGTTTCCAAGTGGACACTGATCTCATCTAACCTGTCGAGGTATATTTATATCATTGGCTGCAAACCTCATGTAGATAGGTGTGGCATCACCAAATAGCTTTTAAATGGAGGTACTAAAAACTAAAACCTTTCATATTTCCAATGTCCTACTGTGTTATAGTGGACACTAAGAATATGAAGTATAATATTTTCGGACCCCCTCCAAATGTTGTTTTTGGTCTAATAAGTTTTTTAATCATTTTTATGACCATAATAAACATATAAGGGGCACTTAACAAAATACTGGGTTATTAACAGGGCGAACTATGGGCTGAACCTGTAGAGGTGTATTTTGTTACATTCCTCCCAAAACCATTTGGTGATAAAAATCGTGTGTGCCCAATCTAATCCCAATTAAAAAAAAAAATCCCAATGATAAAAATCCTTAACCCATAAGTCCCTAACGGTCTTCACACCCATCAACACTCCAATATAGAAAAATCTACAATACAAAATTAAAAACACACATCGCGAAAAGCAACTCTTCAAGTAAAAGTCCCTAACGGTCTTCACACCCATCAACACTCCAATATAGAAAAATCTACAATACAAAATTGAAAACACACATCGCGAAAAGCAACTCTTCAAGTAAAAGTCCTGAACAATAATATAGCACGTTATTTATAGGGTATAGGTAGTCTCCACCAGTTGGCAAGTATCCACCATTAAAAAAAATATATAATATCCACCATTAAAAAAATATATAATATCCACCAGTGTAGAAGTAGGACTTCGTCTAAGTCTCACGTTGTTCGTTTCCGATATAAAGGTAAAGTACTTCCGATGTTTAATTCCGTTAATTACAATCTAATATAGCTGTATAGCGGTTGGCGATATCAGACTGAGCAGCTCGGTATCCTCGAACGTACTGACTGAAGTATTCTTGTTACCGTCTAATATAGCAAAACCCATACAAAGAAACACAATACAAAATAATAATAGAATAAAGAATGATATTAAAAGAATAAAAGATTATGAGGAGAAATATTAATAATGTTTATTGTTCCCACAGACCCTAGAACCATAATTAAATATATTTTTAATAAGTATTGTACTGGCTATTTGGATTACCCTATTTTCAGTCCTTTGAAGTAGGCTGGACGAGAGTGGTCATTTGGGGACACAATACATGTTTTCAGGTGAGTTTTCAGGTTAGCGGTCGTCGACCTGTCACCTGATCAAATAATGTTCAGCCATCAAAGCACTTAACTCGAATACAATACTGGCTAATTAACTGGGTTATGTGAAAGATCTGTGGAGAACAAATATCTGTAAACTTTGTTTCACACTACCAAACAAATGATAAGAAAATGGCTATTTTCTTACAGTATCCACCATTAAAATATAATATCCACCAGATTAACCATGAACAGCAGTTGGACTATCCAATCAGCCTACAAATACTTGCTCAAAACAAAAAGTCATTATTGATTATGTTCCCGAACTGTCATTGTTTTGGCCTTGATTTTTTACTCAACTTGAGTAACCGGTCATAAAGCAATTGACCTTGAGGTGTGAACCTAGGTGTACTTGTAGACATAGGTTCTGGGATAGGTGGGTAGAGTGCTTCGTTTTCTGACAAGAGTGGTGCTGTAGCCAAAGCGGATTCAGTGGCAATGTTGTTGGTGATGGGAGTCATTTCCAATTCAGTTGACTCTTTATTCTCTTGCTCATGAGTCGCTCTACCGCGTAGGATGGACCGAACCCCCGACGCAAGATTCCAGTCTTAAGAATAATCAAATGAATGACCAACACTATGGCTACTAGGCCAATGCCAATTAGAATTAATTGCCAAATAGACCAATCATTGGTCTTGTCATTTTGAATTTTTTGTAAATGTTTGATTTCATAGGTGAGCTCAGTAAGAGGAATTTTCTTAATATTTTGTAATTTTGGAGGTAACTCCGTAAGAGTATAATTTAGAAATTGATCCACATAAGGTTTCTAAATATCAAGCATTGATTCGTTAAACCTGTTTCCCCCTTTTCTTTGCCTTTAAGGTAAGGTCATTTATTCGACATCGATGGCAGCAAAGATGGGATGCTGCAGACACTAACAAGCTTCATGCCATTTAGGCTCTCCTAGGAGACTGGCCCTCCTCCTATTGTGCCAACAGGAGAAATGAAGTTGTTTTGTGTCGCTCTCGTCTTAGACATGCTCACCTCACCAACTGTTATTTGCTCAAGCGAGAGCCTCAACCAGTCTGTGAGCACTGCCAGATCTGCCTGACAGTGAAACACATTCTGATTGAGTGTAAGCATCTAAAACCTATAAGATCACAGCACTGCCGTGCTGTTTATTTATTTCAGCTTTTTGCAGAGAAGGTTGTGTCTTTTTAAAACAAGCAGGTCTTTATTTTAAATTTTAAATAGATTATTCATTGTTTGTTTTGAATATTTTGTTTTTAATACCCCCATGTGGTGTATTACCTCTGATATTGTTTTTAGTGTTTTTTTTTGTAGTCATTAAGTGACTTTTTCTGTGATATTGATAGGTGATTTATTGTTTTAGTTTTTTTTTATTATTTTAACGTATTCTGGAGCTATATAGCCCGTTTGGTGCTGATGCTCCTTAATGCATTTCATTTCATTTTTGATTCGTTAAAAGCCAATGTTAAACAGTCAAATGATGTGAAATCAAAATAAGTGCTCTCATTCGAAAAATGGATAGATTGCATGGGTGGTTGCACGATGACAGACCTCTGCAAAAAACTTGTTTGGTGGCATATGATCGAGAAGCGAGTCGGTCTTTGAGAGACGACCATCCAAACACCGTTAGCAATGTATGTTGCCATAGGCAAAATACAGTTTGGCTTGATAAATACTTTGCACAACCTATCAATTTTTTTCTTATTTTCTGTAAATAAAGCCATCACGTACAGTTGAGACAAATTGGTGGGGTAAATCGGACTTCGGAATTGCCAGAATCCAATCAAACGGATCTGAACATTTTTTAGCTTCGTCATTATCTAACATGGCATATTTGGTCCGATCTTTATTTACAGCAATGACTTCGGCTTTAAGTCGATAAGAGGCTACCATTTTAAACGTGGCTTTGATTTCGAAAGGATCATTTTATTTTGTCATTGGTAATGGTAAATTATGAATCTTATAAATTTCGAGAGTGCCGTCATGATCTAAAAGGGGAATATTTACTACTACGATTATTTTAATGTCCTCAATTAATGAAATACAATTAAGATAGTAGTGCCACAAATTTTTCTTTGGATCTTTTGGAAGTTTAACACTCGGAGGTAAATGATTTTGAATTTCTAATAATAGTTTACGTAGACTTCCGGGTGTGAGAATACTAGACGACAAATGTCCTTAAGATAGCATATTCAATTGCAATTTTATCTGTTCAGCATAGAGATCCGCTCTTAACCACTTGGGAGCGGGATTACCATCATAAATTTTGCTCAATAACGGGATTAATTTTGAATTTTTTTTTTTATGCTAAATATAAAATATTTATTTTTTTTTTTGGAAAAAATCTTAAGTCAGCTTATATTTTCCAAAAAATAATCAAATAAGTATTTTTTGAGTATTATGGATAAGAATAATTTCAGTTTTTGAGCATTGTAACAGTTGAGAAAAAGAATATATTTTTCTATATAATACAAGAGTTTATTCCATGTAAATATTTAGTGCAAATATTTCAAGTTATCACATTTCAAATAAATATTATATCTCAATAATTTAATGCAAATAATATACAACAATTGACTAGTTCATGCAATGGCACAAAATCTAATCAATAACAACTACAAACAATTAAGTGTTCGTTTTGAATATAACAACTGCAGCTAATTAACTATTCATTTTAAATATAACATTTTGAATATAACAACTACCCGTACAGCTAAAATTACTCTTCATTTTGGACTAAAAATCTATAACAACTAACAATTTGAATAAAGCATTTTGAATATAACAACTACAGCTATGTACATTTTGAATAAAACATGTTGGACATAACAACTACAGCTAATTCACTGTTCATTTTGAATGCGATAATTTACTTAAGTGTGAAAACTTTTGAAACATGGCACAACACAAAGAGGAACTTCACACCGTTCACACATATAACGCGATTCAGTTCTTAGTCCACTTTTGGCACAGACTTCACATCTCTTTGTAGGGTACTTTTTTTCTCCGTAGCAGCTATATGCGTTAGGACATGTCTTCCTGTAGGCGTAATGGACTTGGTAAGGAGTGAGGTCTACTACGTGAACGACAAGTTGGTACACGGGAGCTTTCAATTAGTTGAGATACAAGGGATTACTTGAAATCTAGAAGTGATGATTTCCCACCCAAAGCTTTGTGCGGAAAAAATGAGTTTATGATTGTCAAATCCAGCAAGTAATAAAACAATTTCTTATACCATTTCACGTGTTTACGCACAGATTTACAAGTAGCAGCTAATTGGTCAGACCTGTCTGTTCCACCCATACCATTGTTGTAAGACAAAACACAGGCTGGTTTCAAAATGGGTAAATTGGTTCTGCGATCTGTTTTTCCAATATCCACCATCTTTGCATCATGCATAGTTGTCAGCATTTTAACATCTTTTTTGTCCTTCCAAACAAGCAAAAGTGTGTTATTTGATGTTAGAAATGTTATTTCACCTATTTGAGTTTCTCATTTGATATGTCTCTTAGAATATTCTTACGATTTAAACGAACAGTTCCACATGCATTTGTTTTCTGGTTATTCAGCTGAGCAAAGAGATCGGGGCTTGTATACCAGGTATATCCAAGTAGATATTTACTGAGATCCATAACAACCTATGTACTAGCTGGCATTTTAATTGCATCTGTGTCCTGTCCAGTGTATATCTTGAAATTTCATGTGTATCCAGATGCAGGACCATTTGATTGGTTTAATTTGTATAGCTTTATTCCAAATCTGGCACGCTTATAGAGTTCCCTATCAAATTTCAAATAACTCTTCTCTGAAAGACATTTAATATGATGTAGGTACCTGAGTTACTTGTTGTGTTGAGGGTGATGGTAAATCTGGTCGAGTTGTGGGTTTTGGTGAATCTGGTTGAATTGTGGTTGGTGGTAAATTTGGTTTAGCTATGGGTGGTGTCAAATCTGGCTGAGCTGTAGGTGGCAATAATACTGGTCCAGTAGTGGTTTGTGATAAATCTGGTTGAGTTATGGGTGGAGGCGGAGCAGGTGGCAGTGCACCTGGGAGAGTTGTAGGTGGTGGTGAATCTTGTTGAGCTGTGAATGATCCTTTATCCTGCAACCTTTTTTTCACTACATATATACGTCCACATTTTCATGTGGGCGTATAAAAACAAATGTTATAATTGTTTATGAGTAACAATACAAAATAAATGAAATAAAATGAAACATGTATATTTACATGTAAGACATATGATATTAAAAAATAAATGGCATATTTCTTTTTGACTAACAATACAAAATAAATGAAATAACAAAGCTTGGCAGGGAAGGAAATGTGCTCATTGGCAGCTGTTAGAAAAGATAAAATTTCATTTTGAATTAGCACACTTTTTTATTTTGTCAAGGGCAATAAGTCAAAAATAATTTATTGACAAATCATATCAAGTTCCATTAAATTTGAAATAAAACTCTAGTCTGTATAGTTGTCACAAGAAATGTTGATGGACAGACAGGGGGATGGTAATATATGAGCATATAGCCTTGTCCGGAAAGGTCTTATCTGATTACGTCCCTTTAGCTACTCTTTACAATTGAAAAACAATAAAGACCTACGCGCCATTTTCACCCACTTCCGGAGAGGTTTATACAAAATGGACGAATTTACGCCTACAAAGCGACATTATTGTACGGTATGCTCACATTATCGAGGGAAAGAAGTAAATGGACGCATTGTTTCGTTGCATAGGTTTCACATGAATGAAAAGGTGAAAAATGCTTGGATAAGACGAATAAAACTTGTGAAGAAAGGCCTCAGATACAACAGCTCTCTACGTCTCTGTTCTGAGCACTTCGTCGGTGGCGATTTTGAGAAGAATATTGTTCCATCATGTTTGGCGAAAGACGTTTTAACACCACCACCGTAAGCATTTTTTTGTATTATTGATATTAGTTAAATATAAAAAATAACGAAAATTTATTTTCCTAAACAAAAACTGTAAAATAAAAAAAATGTGTCATGTCATGTTTTCTAGGCCTAGGCCTAGTTGATCTAGTATGACAAAGTGTTGTCGATATCCCCTTTTTGCGATCCAATGCTGGTGGTCCCCGTCCGTAAATAAGTTGAATAACAGTTTTCAAATATCTTTATATAAATATCAGACTTCACGTTGTGTTCTTAAAGTTGACATTCAATAGAATAACATCAAGAGAATAGCATCAAGAGAATAATTTAAAGTGTATTTCTAGTCGAGAATAATTTCGAATGCCTACTAGTCTTAAAGGTAGCCAAAGATAAGACTTTATGAGTAATAACGTTTCCTGTTAAGTACTGAAGACAGAGAGTAGTCTTCGCATATTTATACTCTCGACTGTATACGTCATATCGACAGGAATGATAATCTGTTAATCTTTTAATGTTGGTACTTAAAAAAATTGAATATGAATGACCATTATATAACGGCCACGAGTCCTACCACGAGTCCTAATTCATGGGCTATTAATTTCTATACCAATTTCACTAACAAAAATCTGAATACGGGCGGATCTCAGTTTTGTTACACTAGATTAGAATTGCCAGTGCAATTTTTTTTCTCATACAATACAATGAATACAATGTAGATCTATTGTCTGGATTGCATTATTCCCCTCTAAAATATGATTGTCAATTATTGCATTCCAATTGTCTTAGGTCTAGGATGCCTTTGGGACTGTTGATATAAGTTTTGAAAATTTGCTGTTTCAAATAAACACACTTCCCATCTCCTAAATATTTGGCATGGAAATTAACTATTTAAGACTGAAATTTTCCTCTGACCGGGGGTTAATATTTCAATTCATATCAAAATAAGAAGCAACATGCATTTCAGCTAAAATTTGGTATTACCGTAGACATGACTTTTTATTTTTTTTAATTTCAGTTGGAAAGCATCTCTTCAATGAGCCTGGATGTTGACCCCAACACACAACCCTTGGCTAAACCAGAGCCTCAGGGACAAGCTACTCATCTGAAAAGTAATCTTACATCAGAAAATTCATCTATTTTGTTTCATGATTATATTGGAATGGTTCATACTGAAAACATGATACACAATTTGAATAAGGACTGCCAAACAAACATTGGGATTTGCAGTAAATCTATAGGTTCACAAACACCGTTGAAAGATAAATCTGACGCCTCCACACAAACTGAAATGATTTTTAACAGTGCTGAACCATATGCTACCAAATTTTGTGACTATCTTCAAAAGCCTATCTTAACATCAGTTGATGCAGGTACACAGTTTAATAAACCATCAGTGACCATTGAGGACATAAACTCAGATGAAAAATGTATGTTTTATACAGGAGTGCCGAATAAGAGTGTGTTTTATGCGCTGTTTGATGAAATGGGTGATGCTTCTGAAAAAACTAAACAAAATAATTCAAGTTCAAGTTCGGGTACAGGGCGCCCAAGAAGTCTTCGGCTTATTGATGAATTTTTTATGGTGCTTATGAGGTTAAGACTAGGACTATTGTTGGGTGACTTGGCAGACAGGTTTTTCGTATCAAAATCTACTTGCGGTGTTATTTGTGAAAAGTGGATTGAGTATTTACATTTAAAACTTTCATTCTTGACTACTTGGCCTAGTAGAGAAATTGTGGACAAATTTATGCCAAAAAAGTTTAGTAGGAAATATCCTAACTGCCGTGTTATAATTGACTGTACAGAATTTTTTACAGAGACAAATCAATCGTTGTCAAACAAGTCACTGTTGTTTTCTAGCTATAAATCCCATATAACGTATAAGGCTCTTTTAGGCATAAGTCCTGCTGGACTTATTACATTTGTGTCGGACTTGTGGTCAGGAGGCATCAGTGACAAACAGATCACAAAACAATGTGGTCTTTTTGAGTTATGCGAAAGAGGCGACGCAATAATGGCAGATAAGGGATTTTTGATAACAGACTTAACCACACCCTTAGGAATAAGCATGATATTACCCCCATTTAAAACTCATAGGTTTTCTCGTAGAGAAGTTGAGGAGACCCGTAGAATTGCTAACTTACGCATTGACGTAGAGAGGGCAATGGAGCGTGTAAAAAACTTTCGCATACTTAGTGGTGTCATACCAATAACTTTATCCAAAAAAGTGTCAAAGATATTGAAAATATGTGTTGATCTTTCTAATCTTCAACCTCCCCTTGTTCATGATGATCCTTGATCTCAAATGATTTTTGTTATAGTCAAAATTGTGATCTAATTTTAATTAGATGGGTAGCCTAAACTTTTTCATTGTCTCATGATTAATAGTTTTCCAAAGCCTTATTGTTAAGTTGAATTTTTTTGGTATAATTATAGTTTATGAAAATCTCTTAGGGATTGACACGCTGTTAAGTTTAAGAATTTTATTGAATAATTCTTGTATTGGTATGTGTAGGATTTTTTCATTGGCTGATGCTAGATATTTTTGTAGAACATGGCCACCATTTGTTTTTTAAAAGTAATTTAAAGTGCACTTAATGTCTTCATTATCATGCAGTGACATTTATCTTGATCTATCAGACGATTCAATATAAATGAATTGAAATGAAAAATAAGAACTTATTTCTCTTCTCATATTGTTTACTGTATTAAATATGTACTTTACATTAAACAAAGTAATATTAAAATATTTACAATAATATGTATTCATTCAATAAGACACATGTCTTTAGGCACACAATTTATGTCTATAATTACTGTGATTAACTGTCTTTAATCATATAAACGCTTTCCTCTTTGCACACGACATGAGAAAAGTTCTGGGAGAACAAATTTTTGATAAAAGTTGATGACTTTCACTAGACATTCTTGCCAAAATTGTTTGTTGAAGGCAATTCTTTCAATACTTATATCGCATAATGTCCAAACAACAAAGTCGCACCACAATGAGTTTGTGAGAGCCATCTGGGCCTGTACCTGATAGTAGTAATTATGACTACGTTTCAGAATAACTTTGTCTTTGTTCATTTCACAACAGAATTGAGAATCTGTGCAGGCATCAACTATTTTCGAGAATCTCCATTTAAATGGACACTTCACTTCTAAAACTCCAATATTGCCATTATCATCAACTAACCCATCTGGACTAGAACCAAGAAAGGGAAGGTTTTTTTGAACGTATAGTCCAGTATCAGTAACAGATATGGTATTACCAGCGGCCTTTTTAACTAGCACATACTTCCTTCTAGCAGCTGGTTCATGATCACGTCCCCATCTTACACTAGCATTAGTAAAATTATTGTATGCCATGACTGTTTTTATAAGGCTTTCTGGTTCAGTGTTTTTATATTTACAAATTGCCTCAAAATTAGATGATGTCACACGACCAACACGGGCTTTCTTCCATAGCTTGTTCTTACTTTGTCCACGGGTAAGTCTTTCAGTTTTTTCACAATCATCGTCACACAAATACTGATTCTCACGATAGGTTTGAAAAAAGTCGGTACATTTCTCACTGTCTAGTTTTATACTATCGGCATAATTAAAAGTTATGCTGTGGATTTCTGGTAGTTGTAACTTTGGATCAGTAAATCAGTAATCACAACTGTATCTGGTCTAGATAACAGCCATGCTGCATGTAGTGCACATTGTCTAAGTTTATTTGCAAAATTGTCCACATTTATAGGTGTAACCGTTGAAACGGTTTCTTTTATTGTTTTTTTTTTTTGTACTGTGGGAGTTTCAATCTCTGGATTCCATTTACATTTTTTGAATTTAATGTCTTGTGATTTTACTGGACTGAGTTTCCTTTTCCGCGGTTGGATCCATTTACATGTAGTTGATGTTGACGCATGCAGACCATCCTTCTTTTTTTCCGTGATATCGATCAGCCCATGGAGAACTGCCGCTATATGGTTACATGATTCTCCTTCACTGAAAATATAAGAATTAGAACGGTTATGTATTACAATGTTCAATCAAATGAAGGTGACCGAGCAGCTTTAAAGGGATTGGAGGTCTTCTAGCCTTGTGTGTAACTGTTATTTGAGCCCTTCAAACTTTCCACCGTATGCCTGTGGTTTCTGTTATTTCAGAAAAACATAACCAGATATGACTCGACTGTGAGACGTTGAGTGATTAGGGTGATGGCGTACAAGGCGGCATACCGTGTTATATCATATATTATGTGGTATAACGCCATAGAGTAATAATAACTCTACCGGTATGTATAACGCCTTGTATGCGATCACCCCAGTAACTCAACGTCAAAATCAAAAAAGAGGGAAGCTAGTGAGACTACTGTGATACCGGTATTTATGGATTTTATAAAATAAAAAATTGGAACTGATATTGAAATAAACCAGCTAGTTTGAAATGGCATATTTGCACACAAAAATTGAACACTATTTGTACATATCCAGCACTACATTCACGCCCAGCACCATGGACATGTCCAGTTACTTTCGACATACTAATCCAAACTAAATAATCTGGCTTCTTCTTTTCATTTAATGTTGGCATGGATGGAATTACTTTAGCACGAACATAACAGTGGGTAATTTTAGCAGCAATATTATGGTATTGTACTGAATGTACATGACGATCCTCGTAGAACACTTTGGCTTTAAGTTGTCTTTTGGCATTGTTCTTTTCCTTGTCAACTGTACGACCTTGACTGAGCACAAGATAATTATATAGTTCAGTGTTTGTAAAATCTGGTATTTGCTCACAATCGTCAATCCAACCTTGTTTCAGGGACGATGGGTGTGGTAAAGTTTCTCCTAATGGTGTAACAAATCGTTCCAAGTTCCTCCGTTCTTCAAAATTCCTATCCTCCAAAACCAACTCGCTCAACGGCCTTTGACGGAAAATATCTGTACCTTTTGCACGTTTAATCAACTCTGATTTTACTCCTGACACATACTGCCCATGATCCCGCAGATACGACTTTAATTCGTTAACGTTCAACTTATCAAAATCCAAATACAAATCTTCCCGCTCACTATTCTCTTTGTTAGACGCCATATTGTTTCTTTTGTTCTAGAAAATATCCCCCCGGAAGTAGAATTATTCCATACAACGCAAGGGACGTAATCCAGTCAAGGGGCAGATAACACCTTTCCGGAAAAGGCTATATTGATGTGGGCATACAAAAAGATACATGTAGTAAGAAATATAATGATGAGATTTGAACAATGTGTGTTATTGTTTTGGTTTTGTCGAAATCTATTTGAAAGAGGACATTATCGGCCAAAAAGAAATCTTCTAGTTCTGTTTTGTTATTTAGGAGGTGTGCAAGGTTTTTTGATGTTAAAAACTCAAAAAGAGTATTAGTGAGAGAAGTTAGTTTCTCTGTTTTGTTGTCATTTTTTATTTGAAACATGGCAGTAGTTTGTGTTATTAGGGCACATTTTTTTTACCCTAGTTCGACACATTGGACAGGTAATAAGATTTTGAGATGTTTTTCTGGCAGGAGGGACAATTTGTTTTGACAGATACTCTTGCAGATATAATGGTTCCCGATATGTTCCCGATATTGATTCTGACTTGTGTAGTGTTAATTTGATATCATTGTAAATTCTTAGTTTGCAATTAGTTATTTTATAACTATTATCTTGAGTAACTTTGTTAACTAAATTTTCAAAAAAAGTTACTGTTAAAAAGTCATTGCCATCATGAAAAGTTACGTGTTGAATTTCCTTTAGGTTAAAATTTTATTAATGATACTAAACTACAACAAGAGGTAACAAGATTAATAAGTTTTATTCAAAAAGAATTGGTCAACGTAGCGAACAAAACTGAGTTACAAAATTTAATTTCATTAATATCTAAATTAGAGGATAAGATTGCAAAACAAATATTAGACATTCAACAATCGATAGATAACATTCCAGATGAAGATACGTTTCAACAGGAATTAAATGCTCTGGAAACTAAACTTAACAGTGAATTACAAAAAGAACTAACAAATATTCAACAACAAATACAAAACATAGATGATAGCGAAATCAAAACCTATATTCATCAACAAATACAGAACATTGATGATAGTGTTATTCAACAACAGATAACCACTATTAATAACCTAGTTTTGAAACAGAACAAAAATATAGTCGCATTAGAAAAAAGTTTCTCTCAAGAATCATATTATTTCAATCTTCCATTTGGAGGTTTTGATGATCCTTCTATTACTGATAATATTGATAAATCAAAAGACTATGAATTTAAAAAATATGGATTTACAGCAAATATTAGAGTATATTCTGTTCCAAATTATACTATTTACCCCAATAATATTTTTGATTCAGAGAATGATTATCGTCCAATATTTTTTTAATTTCCCAGGAAAACTTATAATTGAAATTAATTTTCCTTTTCAGGTAAAAGTTGATTCAATATTCTTCAGACAAAACTTATATATATCTAATAAACAATTTAACGCTCGTAAAGTTCTTCAGTTTATCAATGGTACAAGAAATGTAGAAACTAAAGAATTAGAAATTAACGACGAAAACACCAAGGTTAATCACTTAACCTTTAAAATTAAAACGAGTGGAAAATTCATATCAAATGAACGTTTTTCCAATGTTATTAAGCTTATCACTGATGAATTTTTAACATTTAAAGGGCAAATTGAATTAGATGGAGAGATAATTCAAGATGGAGGATATAAACAAGGCATGCAATTTGTAGCTTTTAATACCAAAACTTTTCGCAATTTCTTCGCTAGAGTGGATATAAAATCGGATGCTTCTGATTGGTATTTCACAGGAAAAATGATTTTCCGTAAAAACAATTTCAAAGAAATAAAAAGATCAAAAAAGGGTAGTGGTGTTACCCACCCTAGGCCTGTACATCTGGGAGAATCAAACCCTCCCTTCCCCGAAATCTAATACTGTCCGTGCCAGGCCAGATCAGACAATTTATTTTGACTTTGGTATTATTTATTTCATCTTATATTTATATATTTTATTTTTTTTTGTATATATTGTATATGTTAGGATTTTGACATTTGTTTCTCGTGCATATAACAAACTTTCTTCAACAAAATTTGCATTAATCTTTTAATCTTACCAAGTAAATTTAATTGCCATTATTTATGTTTTTCTTTCGTGTAAATTATACTCCGAGATAATCCATCCATTTAAATTACTACTCGGATATAATCAAAGTTCAAAGTTAGTTCTAATCAATTTACAATTCACTAATCCCGCTTATTTTATCAAATATTTCTCAAGTTTATTTATTTTATATTTTTGTATTCTTGATTTCTGTTTACTTATGTTTTTCATTTATGTAAATTGTACTCTAAGATAATCTAATCTGTCTTCCATCGACCTCTACCACCTACCAATCGCTCACCACCAACCAACCCATCCAGCTATATCCCACCCCATCGCCGACCTACCTACAACACCTACCAATCAAGAGGTAACCATCGACCTGACCAACAACAGAAACGACTACCAGCCCACCGACGCCAACCAGTCCCCACTCATAAGGAGGAAGAACCCTTTGTGAAGGTGTTCTTCCAAGTTTTGCAGTCCCTCCATCATTTGGCAATCCTTACCCTTCAACAGCAAGGCCAACCAGCGTTTACCTTCAAACGCAAAGTCTCTGAGTTGGATAGTTTTATCCGTCCAGCAATGAAAACATCAGCTGTTGACGCGAATATT